AAAACTTGATATTGAGCCTAGTTATTTAAAAAATCAACACAAAAAGCTTAACTAACCAAAAAATGATACTTTATGCTAATTATTAAAGAAACCAATATAAAAACATTTAACAAACAAAAAAAAAAACAGAAAACAGAAAAAATGAAAATCCATATCGAAAAAGTTAAATGAACACAGAGAAAAAAAGAAACTAATATCTATGCTGTTTATTTAAAAAAATCAATATAAACAAAATTAGTAGGAGAATAAAAAAACTTAAGTCATATTCAAAAACTTAACTAACAAAAAGAAGATAAATATTTAAGCTAATTATTTAAAAAACAATATTAAAAACTGATTTATAAAAAAATATAACAAAAATTAATTTTTACAAAATGTTCAATTTTAAAAAATTATCTAAAAAGAAATTGACTTCATATCTGACTAACGATTTTGAAAATAAATATAAAAATATTTAACTAACAAAATAAAGAAAAATAAAATTATGTCTTCAAAAATATCAATATTTTCAAAATAATTATGTGTTAAAATAAAATGTATATCAGAATCAATAGGGGTAAATTAACAAAAGAAAAAGTCGTATTTAGCTTGCTAGTTAGGCTAATGTTTTAAAAAATCAACATAAAAATATTAACTAAAAAGGAATGATGGTATAAACTTTTGAGGAAAGTCAACAGAAAATTTAGAATAACGAGTTATAACATGTCAAAATAGCATTATAATTAAAATAAAAATTAATATAAAAATATAACAAAGAAAATGCATTTATGTAAAATAGATTAAATTGATATATATGCAACCTATTTGGAAAATTAATAACAAAACAGCCTAATTAAAATATATATATATATATATATCTGTTTGAAGTATATCAAACATGCAAAATTTTTTATAAGTAAATAATTTATAAATTACTATAAAAATATGTAAAATAACAAAAAAAATAAGATCCAAAAATAAAATTAGTTTGAAACTTAGTTCCAGAATATTTATGATTTCTAAAATATTGGTATTAACTATGAATAATCATATAAAATTACAGTAGGTTATACGAGTTTCTAAAACATATTATTTAAATTTACAAAGACTAATACTTTGACTACGTCTGGTTTCAAAACTAACAAAGAAAAATACTACATAAATAACTTTACACTCGAAATATAACAAGTAATAAAGTCTGATTTTTATATATATTTACTACTTATAACTTAGCCAACATGAGCAGCACATGAGTGACACCTTCTAAAATTCTATTTAAATAATAATGTATGACAAAGCTATGAATCGAATTCAAATTGGAATATATCTAAATAAACTATTCACATCAAAATATGAATAAAACACACAAAAGATAAAAACAGTGAAAAATAATGTGAAGACTCCACATCATCTTACATGTTTAAAAATAAAAATTATCAAATAGCTAACTGCAAATAAAATAAATCTTATAAACTGAATAGAAATATAAGCTAAAATTCGCAGAAGATTTGGTGGAGAAGTAAGAAGCAACTTTACACAATTATTGTAGCATCCTAACAAAAGAAAATCCGATTAAACGTCAATCATATATTATATATGATAGTTACACAACATCAGTGAGACAGTTAATCAAAAACTAAATATTTGAGCATATAAATCTTAAAAAAGAATAACTATAGAAATCATAAAGACACAAAATAAAACACCAAAAAATTAGTAAGGAAATCATTCTCTAAATCAAATGTATGCACGTCGAAGTTGGATAATTCGTTACGTGTCATTACTATGATTTTACTTAATAAGATTTATAATTTTATAAGCAAAAATAGGAAAAACTACAAATTATATTTTACGTTTTTTATATAAAAAAAATTTCTATAAATATGTTATAGTTTTGATAATTTAAAAAATATTAACCAAAAAGAATTAAACCAAATTATTAATACAGACTACACGCGAGTTAAAAGCCTAGTATATATATATATATATATAACTAGGTAATAACCTGCACCCTGTGCAGAGTAAAATAATTATTATATATATATAAATTTAATTAATTTTAAGATTATACAATATGATATAATTGATTTTATATGAGTTTCATATAACAGTATGTAATAACATACTTAAATTGTCATACAAATTCATTTAAAAATTAAATATCATTACATGGTCCAATGTTTAATTGGATAAAAATACGAAGTCGCTATATAAATCTTATATATCTCGTGATAAACGACATGATTCAGTGTTTTCACTAATGTCCAAAGCTTTGCATATACTATATTTGTTAATTTGTAAAAAATTGGAATCATAATATAAAAAGTGGATAACTAAAATTATAATCAGAAGTATTTAAATATGTATACGATCAAAATAATTGGAAACAAAAAAATATATAGAACACAACAAAATCAGAAAAGCAACAATTATAACCATAAATTAATGTAAATAATTAGTCTTGTTACCATAAACAGTTATTAACCCCAAAAATATTTAATCAAAAAATATTTTCCAAAATATAAAAATATTTTAATAAAGAAATTTGCATATAAAAACTTTTAATTGCTTTTTAATACCGTTTATCAATGGGCATTGATCAAAAGTTTGTCTACTTATAAAATATAATATGTAAACATAAATCACCAAAATAGCCTAAATTTTTAAAAAAACCTATGTAAATATGTGATTTCATTAATTTCATAAATTAATAATTACCATTAAATAATTTTATACTAATATATAACTCCATAATTTACTAAAATATGAATATGTAAATTTTTATTTATTAAAGTTGGAATAATGTTATCGTTTATCTACAATTTAAAAGTAAAATGTTTAAAGATATCCTTAACTTTCTAAACAAATATTATTTTTATTTACTTATTTAATTAAAAAAAGTCTCAATATTATTAATTTATAGAGTTTCTATTGTAATTATAGTGATTGATTTAAAGGCGACAAACTTAAACTTTTTCGGTAATTTATTTAAACGATTAACAAATTTAAACATTTTCTAACCACTAAAAAAATCAAAAGAAATACAAACAAATCTTGCAGAGAATTTGGTATATGATAAATCAAACATTGATTAAAAAAAAATTAATCAGTTAATATTAATATCATCATGTTATGGTATATTACCAAAAAAAGGTAAGAAATAATGTTATATGCCATATTAGTCACATAAGAACCACATATAAAGTAACTAATAATACCATATGTCATATTTTCTTATATAGTAAATCAGAATAGTAATAATATATATCATAATAATTTTAGAAATTTGTCATTATGATTTTTTCTGATTGATTGGAAATTCGTCATTATGATTTTTTCTGATCTACTTTTGATTAAAATAACATATAAAATAATATATTTTTGTAAATATTATTATGAATTGTTAAAATAAATATATTAAAATATTTATCTTGAAGTATTATATATGTTTTCATAATTATTTTCATGCATGCTATAATTACATCAATATATGAATAAAATCAATATAACTTTCTTTTATATGTTCTGATTGATTTTTGAGAAAATTAAATTATTATTTTAAATTATTATGTTGTATTTATAAGAATATTTTTTAATGAACTATTAATAAAAATATTTTCTGACAGCAGAAATAAACATTATTAAAGTATTATATATTTTATTATGAATTTGAAGAAAATACAATATGATTTTTATTTTTTCTTTTGTATCTATAAAAATATTTTAATGAATAATTAATAAACATATTTTTTGAAAAAAGTAGTAAACATTTAAAAAATATTATATATTTTGTTATGAATGATAAAAGTAGAAAAGATTAAAAAGTATTATATATTTTCTATGAATTTATAATAAAATATTTGTAGATAATATTTTTAAAGTATTATATACTAAACTATTATTTATAGATTATTTCCTTTGAATTTATCTAAAAAATGAACATAACATATGTGTGGACATAAAATATACAATGACATATCATGTAATTAGTCTAGCAATTTAAATCTCTTTAAAAAAATTAGCTGAGAATGAATGTGTGATTGATACATCAGCAAAATGACACCATTTTTTATTCTACAAATTTAAAATTATTTTTTAAAAATACTTCTCTTTTAATATACAGGGGATTAACTATAGATGATGATGTCTATACCAATAGAACTGAATTTTTTAAATCCTATATGAATATCCTTAGAGGTCTATAACATCAACTTTTATTAGTAATTAATTGATTCTCTTTTAATATACAAGGGATTAACTATAGATGATGATGTCAATAGAACTGAATTTTTTAAATTTTATATGGACACCCTTAAAGGCCTATAGCATCAATTTTTATTAGTAATTAATTGATTCTTATGTTTTGAAAATTAATTTGGAGTTTCTAGAATTCAACTTTTTTCAAAGTAATTGAGTTTCGTGGTATCAAGATCGCATTCGTCAATTTGTACAAATTAGGTAACTTTAAGAACCGTTGTTTGATAGATAAACATATAATTTTCTTAACCAAACATAATCTATTCTTGAAAAATGTGAAATTTTGCGTTGTGTGGTTGAAGTTTTCTTAGAGAAAGAGAATATGCATGAAATCATCTAATTGGATTCTTTTAGTAAAAGAAAAAAAAAAAAAATATATATATATATATATATATATATATATATATATATTCGTGAAAAACATAGTAAAGAGTAAGATAAATGACAAAGAGAAAGAAAACTAAGAAGTAATCCAAAAATTGGGAGGCCTACTCTCAACTACCAAAAATACAAATTAGTGTTTGTTGTGTTAGGTCATTTATTCAGTCACCTAACCCTAACTATATGAAATACGTTAAAATTCAATATATAGAATAATAAAAGAAATACTATTAGTCAATATAACTCTTATTTTTTTAATGAATAAAAAAAACGACCATCTTTCAATCAAGACCGTCCAAGTATTCTCTCTTTCACATAATTCTCACGTTTTTCCTTTAACAAAACAAGATTTCTATGAGCTTGCGGGTCCCATGATAATCCTCATTGAATTTCCCCATATATATCTCATGCGAATCCAACTCGACTTCATAACATTTCAACATTAATAGTTAAACCCAACCAAAGTTGCATTATTCACAAACCAAATAACTTTGCTGTTTCCTCTATTTGGATCAAAAATGGTTTGTGCTATTGTTTTTCATTATGTTCGATCGTTTTGTTTCACAAAGTGTTTAAAGAACTTTTCATGTATTCACTCTTGTTTTTGCTCCTCTTCAGGTTGCGGAGAACAACAACAAGGAAGTAACACTCTCTGCTTCAATGGACGATAGCAACAACAACATGAAAGGAACTAAGATTCATCTTGAAGTTCTTCAAAAGGAAGAACCAGCTTTGGTCAAACCAGAATCCGAGACACCAAAGGGTCTCTACTTCTTGTCGAATCTTGATCAGAACATCGCTGTGATCGTCCGTACAATCTACTGTTTCAAATCTGAGGAGAGAGGGAACGAGGAAGCAGTCCAAGTGATTAAGAAAGCTCTGAGTCAGGTTCTTGTACATTACTATCCTCTTGCTGGACGTCTCACCATAAGTCCTGAAGGTACTTTATTAATTAAAGACAGTTAATGATCGCTTCGGTCTCAGTCTCTTATCTTATCTATTTAAACACACACAGCAACATCAGTTAATGTCTTTAATGGTTGTCAATTCAGGTAAACTCACAGTGAACTGTACGGAAGAAGGAGTAGTGTTTGTGGAAGCAGAAGCAAACTGTAAAATGGATGAGATTGGTGACATCACAAAACCAGACCCTGAAACTTTAGGGAAACTTGTCTATGATGTTGTCGACGCCAAGAACATTCTTGAAATTCCTCCTGTTACAGCTCAGGTTTAATTTTCTTCCTCCTCAAGTAAGCTTTTAAGTTCCTAGGGCTTTTAGTTGAGGTCTGATTTGTTAGGGTTTTTATATAGGTGACTAAATTCAAATGTGGTGGGTTTGTTCTTGGACTCTGTATGAATCATTGTATGTTCGATGGAATTGGAGCTATGGAGTTTGTTAACTCATGGGGTCAAGTCGCTAGAGGCTTACCATTAACAACTCCTCCATTTTCAGACCGAACTATTCTTGGTGCTCGAAACCCTCCAAAGATCGAGAATCTTCATCAAGAATTCGAAGAGATCGAAGATAAATCCAACATCAACTCTCTTTACACCAAAGAGCCAACTCTCTACAGATCCTTCTGCTTTGACCCAGAGAAAATCAAGAAACTTAAGATCCAAGCAACAGAGAACAGCGAATCTCTTCTAGGTAACTCCTGCACGACTTTTGAGGCTTTATCTGCTTTCGTCTGGAGAGCAAGAACCAAGTCGTTGAAGATGTTGAGTGATCAGAAAACGAAGCTTCTCTTCGCCGTTGATGGTAGAGCCAAGTTTGAGCCTAAATTGCCAAAAGGGTATTTTGGGAATGGAATTGTTCTCACAAACTCAATCTGTGAAGCTGGAGAGCTTACGGAGAAACCGTTGAGTTTCGCTGTTGGATTAGTTAGAGAAGCGATTAAGATGGTCACTGATGGATACATGAGATCTGCGATTGATTACTTCGAAGTCACAAGAGCAAGACCTTCTCTTTCCTCGACTCTTCTGATCACTACATGGTCGAGATTGGGTTTTCACACGACAGACTTCGGTTGGGGAGAACCGGTTTTGTCCGGCCCAGTAGCTTTGCCTGAGAAAGAAGTGACTCTGTTTTTGTCTCATGGAGAACAGAGGAGAAGCATCAATGTGCTTCTCGGACTTCCTGCTTCAGCCATGGATGTGTTTCAAGAACAGTTTTTACAGATATAATTCTGAACACAAAAGACAAAAAAAAAAAAAATATTTGGCAATTATTGTCAAAAACTATTCGTTTTACTCTGTTTTTCTTCCTGCTTCCTTGTTTTTTTTCAGCTGAATTATTACTATTATCTTCATCTTAAACTTGTCTGTATCTTGCATCAAGTTTCAACCATAAATTTATATTATTTTAACTATATTGTAATATATTATTTTTCTCTGAAATATTGAGGTTTGTTTTTAAGTACAAAATAAAAATTACGTATATTTAAACTGTATAAACAAAGTCTAAAGATAAATAACAGAGGAAAAAACAAAGTAGAAGCAAACAGTGACTAAGACTTTTGCAGTCTCTTTTCTATTGCTTGCCACACAAGTCAACATTGTTCTTAAACGGTCTGAAATTCAAAGCTGTAAACCCATAGACACAGATATTAGACCTCTTGGACTTAAACACAACCTGATCCGTTGTAGTTTTGTAGCCAGGAACGTTGCAGGAATCCGAGGAGTTACCGATCAAGCTTGCCTGGCAAGAAGCCATTGGTGAACCTTTCTCTGCTTCTGCAGCACAAGCAACGTCTTCCACTGACGTTATATCTAGCTTGTAGAGTCCAAGCTCGTTCGTGGTTCGATTTGCAGAGAACGTTATCATCTCTCTAGTTCTCGACGAAGCTGCATCGAATCTGCAGATTATTCTCACTTCCACACCTGTATTATTTGAACAAAGGTGAGAGACATTTCAACTTGAATCTAACAATTTGGAGAATTTTTTTATGTAGTTTCTTTACCGGGCATGAAGTAGCTGTGTTTAGAGAAACTGTTGTTGGAGCAGACGTCGCAATAAACAAGACCCATTACAGTGATCTTTGCATTTGGCTTGGATGAAGGATGTTTCAGAGACAGAGAGTTTAAGGACAGAAGTTGCAGAAGTAACATAAGCACTATCAGTTTCTTCTCCATGTCCACAAGCTCTTAGATTTTTCCTTTTTTTGGATAAACTGTTGTTTAAAGATGAGCTTTCCTTTCTGTTTATGTGGTTGATGGAAGAAACAGACAAAGAATGGGGCCAAGAGGTTAAAGACAAAATAGCAAACAAAGATCAGACAAGAAGAGACATAGACTCCTTTGAAACAAAGCTTCAAGATCGTCTTCTTTTATATACAGAAAACTCAAGATCATTCATGTGCACAAAAAGATGAGCAAAGAGAGAAGCTTCTGGAGTGGAGGTTATAAATGAATGATAGAGAGAGGAATTAAAGGAAAAGTAAAGAAACTGAGAGGTTGGTTGTGTGTGTTTACATTTATTGCGCTCTCAAGCTTTCTGTTTTAAGGGTTTTTATCTATGAATCCCCAAAAAAATGGCTATATCTGGAAAATAGAATGGAGAAGGTAAGCCACTTGTGTGTGTATGTGTATGGACCACTACCCATTATCAGTTCATCATCATAAAGACCAAGAAAGTGGTCAGAACAAATGGCTCTTTAGATATCATCAATACAAGAAGCCAAATTAACCAAACATAAAACCAAAAAAAAAATTACAAGAAACCAATGTATGCTATGACATATTCCCGATCCAGTCTCGGTTTTGGCTTAATTTCGGTAGAGAATTTCTGGTTTAAGGTCCTATAAAAAATGAACAAAACCATACAGGATGGTCTTAGAAACAATGAAAAAGAATAAAGGTTCGTGGTATGCTCTGTTCTTAAGTGGCTTCAAGCAAAACCCATAAAATTCCATCTAAGGCCCTATTCGTACTCAGCATCTAGATACAATTTTCAGATGCATCATTACATATTATTTGTTTTTAAAACTAGATTTTGTATTTGGATACAGAATTTGAATGCAATATTGTTTGTTTATGTATTTATAAAAAAATTCTAAATATAAAATATCTCAAATGATCAAAAGGGTATATTTTTCAATTTATTAATTTTATCTACAATTAAAATAATTTATTTATGATAATATAAATTAATAGTTTTTTATAAAAATAAAGCTTGACTGAAAAAAATACGTTTGGCAGAAAACATTGATTTTGACTGAAAAACTTATTTTTTCGGTCTTGACGGAAAACCATGATTTTGGCAGAAAAACTCAATTTTGCGGTTTTGATGGAAAAATACGGTTTTGATGAGAAAACTTGATTTTGCTGTTTTAGCGGGAAAATCCGGTTTTTTTGCTTTTGGCGGAAAAACTCGATTTTTTAGTTTGGCAGAAAAATTGATTTTGCTATTTTGATGAAAAAATTCGATTGTCCGGTTTTGGCGGGAAAACACGATTTTACACTTTTGACGGAAAACTTGATTTTATTATTTTGGCGGGAAAACCTGATTTTTCGGTTTTGGAGGGAAAATTTTAATTTTACGGTTTTGGCGGAAAAACTCGATTTTCCAATTTTGGCAGAAAACCTGATTTTTAGAATTAGAAAGAAAACTTTATTTTCGATTTTTGTCGAAAAACATAATTTTCGGGTTTTGGCGGGAAAATCCATTTTGACGGTTTTGTCAGGAAAACTCAATTTTTTGATTTTTGTGAGAAAACACAAATTTACGGATTTGGAAGAAAAGCACAATTTTTTGGTTTTGGCAAGAAAACTTTATTTTACGGTTTTGGTGGAAAAAGACAACTTTGCATTTTACTGTTATTTTGCGATTTTGGTGCGAAAATACAATTTTGCGATTTTTATGGAAAATTGAATTTACAATTTTTAGGAAAAATATGATTTTACTATTTTTATTTTACGATTTTGGCAAAAAGTAATAAATATAAGTTTAATTGCATTTTTTTCTATCATATTAAGGGGTATTTTGTATTTTGGTTTTTAAGATGCAAATACTGCATTCAAACTCTACTTTTTTTAGAATCTCAAATATCCAAATTTTTGAAATATTTTTTTATTTTACATCCAAATGCAATATCTAGATGCTAGTTTAAAAGTGTTCAAACGAACAATATTTAAGTATTTGCATCTAGATACAAAAACGAACAAAACCAAAGTCTTTAGATTTATTAAAGCTGGATGGAGACCTTTTTCTGTTCTTCACATTATACTGTTCTTCGCAGTATAAGATGACATTAGGAGTGTGTTTTAGTCTCACAAAAAAACTTCATAACCATGATAATTGTATCATATAAAGAGAAATTTCATAAAAGGGAAATTCTTTTAAAACATTTAAAGAGAAAATTCTAATCATTTAAAGAAAAAATTCAAAAAAGGGGAATCTTTTTAAAACAAAAACCACAAGCTAGCAGCACACATAAATTGGAATAATACTATGAGACTAAATCGTGCGAGAATGATTTAAGGCGCGAACAAAATTCGAAATAATCTTTAAAATCATTTTTTTTATATAATCTCTCATTTGTATTTCACTAAAGTGTTATACACACATTTCTAATTAACTCGTGTATATGCTTATACCGTTATACGGTATATCGTTTTGGGTCGTTTTCAAACAAGTTATTATAATAATTAATACACTATATATATATATATATATATATGTTAGGAGTTGCTCCAAAGTGAAAAGAACCAGAGATAGTGTCGCCATGATTGCTGTATTGCAGCTGAAACCCTAAAGTTAATTAAGGAACTTGATGTAGGCAAATCGTTATCATTATTGAATTAAAGAGTCACCAAGATTCCTATTTACTCTGTCTATGAAATCAACGATATAATTTTTTAACAATAATTATTTCAAGCTAAAAATAAACATCAAAAACAATTTATACAGAGAAGCCTTCCTCTAAGTTCATTTTTTAAAGACAAGTGCATGTTATAAAAAAAGAATAATACAATGTAATGAAAAAGACGGCATTGCATAATTGTGGCGACATTACGAACTTGGGAAAACCAGAAAGAAGAGAGAAGAGTTTAAACGAATATAACAAATTTACCAAATTTGGACTATAAATAGATGACCACATCTATGAATCTGTATCATCAAAATTAAGTGTATCCAAAAGAAAAAGAAAAAAAGAACAAGTTTTAGTGAAAGCAAAGCATAGAAGAAAAGAAATGGCAAAGAACCTCAACTCCGTCAGCTTCACTGTTCTCTTGGTTGTCCTCTTGATGGCTTCAACTGGTACAATATTAGTTTAACAAAGTTGATCACTATTATACTTTGCAGTTGTCTCTTAATGATCTTGTGCTGATGAAAATATATGTCAACATGTAGGTTTCCTCAAGAGCAAGGCTATTGATTGTCCTGGTGGATGTTCTACGGCCGCTTCACGTGTGTTCTATGACGAGTGCCCGGCGGCCCACTCAACGACGGATGTGGAATGCTGCAAGTGTTGCTTAGCCAAATACGGTTCTCCTCCAGTCTGTTGGGCGGTTATTGAGGGAAGCGACAGACACTGCCACTGCTACACAAAGGTTTAAAATAACCGCATATAAGTACCAAGTGTGACTTTTGTTTCCATTCAGTGTGAGGATATGACATGTGTGTGTGTTTATGTTGTTGAAGTTTCTTTTGCTTTTAAATAAAACATCAAGGGCAAAGCTTATCATTGCTTGTCTCTCCCCTCAAGCGTAATCTTATGTTGTGTACACTTTTGTTTCAATCTGAATATATATATAATAAACTCTTTTTGTGTTTGTGTTCGGTCATTCCATTCCCGCCTAACATTCTAATATGGGTTCCAGTAAATATTGACCAAATCATGGAAATAACCATTAGAAAAGCTGTATTATAAGTTTCAAATTAATTTCATATACTTCGTTTTCCTTTAAGATTTGGTGCTTTGTAGTTTTTCCTTCGTTTAATAATTTAAACATATTAAGAGTGTGTTTCAATAGTCTCCAAAAATCGCCTTACTAAACCATAGTAATTAATTAGCAATAACCCCACAAGAGGAATTCAAATAATCTTAACCTACTACGCATAAACTGCACACTGTAATTAGAAAACCTAAACAACCTGCAGAACGATTTTAGACAGAACAAAATTTGTATGATCTTTCATTTCATTTCAATAAAGAGCTTTGGACGTACGCGTTATATATGCATCTTGATATTAGAGACAGCACAGTTTGAATGATCTCTCATTTTCATTTCATATGCTTTTAAGCCTTATATGATATCTCATTTTTGCTCATTTTTTGGAAAGTTATAATAGTAACTCAAACTCAAACATCTGCCAAATCGCGGAGGAAAAATCATATATTAATTAATTTTAAAAATATTATTGAAAATGATGTATATAAATATTTAGATTTGAAAATAATGATATATAAATGGGACATTTAAAAATGCTTTTTGTAACTGATATGGTTAGAGTTGAAAAGGTAAACAACATGAAAAGATACCATTTTCCAAATGCAACTTTATGATTATTGAAAATGGTTATTAGTGAAAGTGTATTTAATACAAACAACAATAAAACTTGCAATCATCTAATACATTTTGTAACATTGTTATGGTTATAAGGGAAAATTTGGAAAAGGCACTGTTAAAAAATAGAACTGCAAAAATTTGGTTGAGACCTTTTTCTGTTCTACACATTATAGAACAGTTGTATAAGATCATATTAGGTGTGTGTTTTAGTCTCTCAAATAACCCTCATAACCATGATAATTGTATCATTTAAAGAGAAAATTCATAAAGAGGGAATCTTTTTAAAACAAAAATCACAAACAAAAACCACAAGCTAGCAGTACCCATAAATTCAAATAATACCATGAGACTAACTCGTTCAAGAGCCCACACGCGCGTGGTCGAGTGGTAGGCGGGATTTGGGAGAAATGTGTTAATTGCACTTCACCTGGGTTGGAACTTCATTCGAAACTAAATTTCACATGACCCGCTAACTCGAGAAACCAGCTAGGAAGTATAATTCCCCACGATCTGGCTCCGAGGTTATGGTGTTTGTTGAACTGAACTATCCGAGTTCTATAAAAAATAAAAATCATGCGAGAACGATTTAAGACGCAACAAAATTCAAAATAATCTTGAATTTTTTTTTTTGAGTATAATCTCTCATTTTTGTGTTATACACACACTTTTAATTAACTCGTGTATATGTTTATACCGTTATACGATATATCATTTTGACTCGTTTTCAAAAAAGTCATCTATACTATAAAAGATGGCTAACTCTCTCAGTTGAGTGCCACCTCATCATTTTGGTTTAATATGAAAATGACATGTGTCATTTAAAAAAAAATGATACAAATTATATAAAATATAATTAATGCATAAATTTAATGTATTATTAATTACAATATTAAAAGAATATAAAAAATATGAAGCATTAGATAATATATTTTAATAATAATATATACTAAATATCCAAAAAAATGATTGAATATCTATTTTGTGTTGGTTTTTTAAAATCATTAAAAAATTATACAAATATAAAAATAACAATTATTTGATATTTTGAACCTAAAAAATTAGAAGAAAAATTTATACAAATTATAATAAGCTTTAAAACAATTTATTTATAAACTAATAATTATTTGATAATTTATTTTATTCAAACTTGATCTATTAATAACTTTTAAATTAATAAGATATCAAAGTCTTAATATATTTATTTATAAAATGTTTTATATAGCTGTATAAATAAGAATTATAAATCAATTATTTAAGCTCATAAAAATATAGGGTTGTCTCTACCTATGTTGTGTTTGAAGAGTTTCTCTAATTAATTTTTTTTCTATAGTACTTCTCTGATTTGCAATATATCAATTTAACATATTTTATATATATAAGGTATAACCT